TGTTAATGTAATGGTATGACCGCTACAGTCTGTAGACATAAACCCCATCGAAAATTTGTGGGCTGATGTCAAGGAGGCAGTTRCCCGATGTAAGTCAATATCAACCACGCAACTATGGGAGACTGTGAAAAACGCATGGGAGTCTATTTCCAATGAAAGCTGCTAAAAACTTGTTGACAGCCACGACGCTTTGCTGCAATACTAAAAAATAAAGGTTAAGTAACTAAATATTAATTTCATAAAAAACAATATCCGATTTGAAAGACAAAATAAAAAACCGCAGAAATTACACATACATTTTTTGATTATTACTTTATCAGTTCCTCTTTTACGGCTGTACACTACTAAGAATGTACCGCAGCTGTACATACATATGTATACACAAATCTGACAAACAGTAGGTATGTTTTTGGTGGACCTACTCGCATTTAATTTATGTTTTATGTTCYACGTCTTGCGTGCTAAATGATTGGTTACACTTAAGAATTTTGAGGAAAATAAATGTATAAGGAAAGTATCTTTCAATTCCAAGATGATAGAATTCGGGTTTTACCGAAGTTTGTTGGTGTTACGGCACATCTTTAGAAACTGAGTCAGTCGACAAAGACAAAGAGACGTTTTTGGCATCATACTAATCAATCGGCCGGCCGGTCATTAACTACGCTACCCCAATTTGGTCGCCTGGATGCAGCAAAATACGGATGGAAAAGAGACAAATCTGCCAGAGTACCTTGTTCCGAATTAATACAGGGTGTCTCCTGTTGTCACCCATCGAACATGTACATAGAGCGGCCTGAATATAACATACTTCGCTCCAAGCAGTTTCTGCTCGAATGTTTTCACAGAAACTATCCCTACACTCACTTGTTTGAAGCGTAGTCGCCTCCTAGGAACACCAGGAGAGCATTTCTCTAATCCTTCGACGAACTGGTATAATATGCCGAACCAATTTTGGACGAGCACAATTTTCGACGCCACTGAACAGCATTCACAGTGAAACTATTAACACAATATCCCGTTCCTACGACAGTCGGGTTTTCGTAATCGGAATGGACCCGAATTTTTTTATCCGATCAAKKACTGTCAATTCGGCTTCATTCTGCCGCTACTGTAATAAATTATTAACACGCTCACCGACAAGAGCTGAAGTTGCCGCGAGAATCCCGAGGCATTGAGTCCCATATGACATGACTATAACCATATCTATACATGCCCACTGATTCACACTCATCTAATACCCCTCTTCATATGGTCCGAACCCGTCGAAACAGCCCATTTCTTGGTGCTGGAGTTAAACGACTTGGATGACAACTAACTCGAACCTAGCCACTCAAGCGGGGACTGGATAACCACAACGACAACAACATTAGTTCGTCTGCTAATTTTTTTTACCTTTTCCAATAATTACCTAMTTTTCTAGCTGGCGAAAGTTGTGTATTTAAATAAATTGAGTAAGAGTAAATTGACGGTTTTACTGACTACAGTTAATAGCGTCATATTTTAGAAGCATTATTGCCATTGTTAAGCTGTCAAGAGTAAGCTGCATTGAGTGGATAAAAAAATGACGGATGACACACCACCTAACTTTTTATCTACCTACGCCAAACAACTTAGCACTTATTTGACATATTAAGGCTGGGATAACGTTATAAATTCGAGTTATTATTTTAAATACCTGAATAGCGATATCAAAAAAGCAATATCGKTATCGTAACATAGGAATCTATCTACGTTGACTCTTAATGGAGTTCCCTAGAAGCAAAGCACGATTTAGAAAGAATTTAAGGCTATGGACCTGAATAGAGTATATGAAGTTTGCCACGATTTTTTTCACCCTTATTTAGTCTATATGTTTATAAAAATAGAANTATATGAAGTTTGCCACGATTTTTTTCACCCTTATAAAGTCTWTATGTTTATAAAAATAGAAATGATTCGCGTGAAGAGCTAAGTCGATTTCATTATGTCTGCCTGTTTGCCTTTATATACGCGAACTAGTCCCTAAGTTTTTGAGATAAGATCCTGAAATTTTGCACACGTTTTTTGCTCACCAAGAAACTGTTTATTTGTCGGAACCGCCGATATCGAACAACTTATGCTGCTATAAAAACTGACTGAACCAAATTCAAATCCTAGTATGAAAATTTATTTTGGTACAGATTACTATCTCAGAACTTATTGCAATCTCACAAATATTTTGTTCACATCGGATCATTATAGCATATGGCTGCCATACAAACTGACCGATCAAAATCATGAAACATTTCTTTTTATATCCACTTAAGCTATAAAAATGCACTTGTGAAGGGTATAGCTGCGTTGCAGCCAAAGCTAACATTTTTCTTTTTCTAGATCCCTTTGATCTCTACACTCTAAAAATTAACATAAGTATGTACCTTTAGTTGTGAGTTAAGTTCTCGTCTGTTAAACAAGGTTCCGTGGCGGAATCTCCACCCTTGTACAAAATAAGCTTTGCAATTGAAGTCTCCCAGCAGTGGGCAGTGATAATATTGAAATAGTTATAAATTTATCCCTGGACGATATTTGTTTTCACTTTCTATGCGAAATACTACTTTGCGGGAATTTTGAACACGACGTGCTACAAGCTAAGCTTTACTTATCATTATGATGCGAGTTAAATAAGTGAAGCTTAYCAGCTTATCGGCTTACCAATTAGTCGCAATTACGCCACAACAAATTGAGATCCAAAAAAAAAAAAAAGCAAAAAAAAAAACCAATAGATACTACATACGACAATGTTTAAAAAGCAATTATCGATACTGCAGCGGCTTTAAACTTTAAAATTATTTTTGTTGTTGAAGCATTTTAGCTAAAATTGCTTTCGGCTCATTACGTTGATAACAAATATGGCTGGGAGCCCGCTATGTTTTATGACCCTAAAGGGTAGGTTTCAACGGCGAAACAAAAATGACATGACAATAAAATATAATTAAGTAATAAACAAAATATAAATAAATAAATAATTATTATGGAAGTCGTGGCGAAAGTGAAAAGCAATAAAGTACGAAAATTTAATTTTGGAGTGATATTTATAAAAAGGAAAAAATCAGTTTTTATGTAAAATATGTATTTTTCCACATTTGTATGTTTTTCAAATAAGAAATGCTTCTAAAAATTTTTGCAATCAAGGAAATATCTAAAATTTATTATATTGGTTATTTCTATTAATATTTATTTACTATTTATAATTGTTCTTGAAATATCAACATTGCAGCGCCTACTTCGTCTAAAGGGTTATATCCTCATGTGTATTTCGAAATTTTGATTTTTTTGCATATATAGTATATCGAATCCGCATATATTTGCAAATATATTCCGTAAACTTGAAGTTGAACCGACAACTAGTTTCGGAGATATGAGCGTATTTGTAAGGCTCAGCGTGACGAGCTGAGTCGATTTACTCATATCCGTTTGTCTGTATACTCAAGGACTAACAGTTTTTAAAATATCGGTCTGAAATTTTGCATATGTTCTTTTCTCCCTAAGAAGCAGCACATCTGTCATAACTGACGGATCTAACTTAAGTCCTGGTACGGAACTTGTTTTTATTTGCTAAGGTACCGTCACAAAAATTGATATTGATTGTTGTCTAAGGTAATGGAGAAATCTGCGAAGAAATAGTTTAAATCGGATCCCTGTAGTGTATGTCTGCCATACAAACTGACCGATCAAGCTCATGTCGTTGTATGAAAAACTTTTTAATTTAATTTAAATATCTTCACGAAATTTAGCATTACTTTTTTTCCACGGTAGCACTGCAATCTCCAAAGAAATTGTTCAGATCGAGTCACTATAACATGTAGCTGCCCTACAAACTGACCGAGCAAAGTCGCTGTAAGGCATATTTTTTTTTGTGAAGGCATTAAGTTGAAGTTTTTATTTTATTTTATTAAATAATAAAAAATTGGAAATAACACCCGAACTAACATTCAGCATACATATTGTTACATAAAAACAAAAATTGCTAAAAGATATGGCAGCTTTTGAAGAAAATAACGTTGAACTAAGTAAATTGCGGTTAACACACATCGTTTTGTATGTATGTAGAAAAGGCAATGTGAAGCGACAACGCGTCTAGTAAACACCAAAAGCACAAACAAACGTCTACAACTATATATACAATAAATACACACATCTAAATATGTAAAAATGCTGTTTGACCAACAAAAAATTATTTACTAGGAAGTAACAAACACATTTGACGCACTAAACGCGAGTTTATAAGAAATTACGAACACTGTAAGCCACCACCCACGCGATACATATGTCCTTTAAAGGCATATACATACATAGTTACATAAATACATACATATGMATATATATTTAATTTATTTAACTAAGCTCATACTCATATGTGTGTGAGTTATTGTTTAATAAAGCACAATGTGATCATTTGTAATCGTACAAACTTACATACACACACAAAACAAACATCATACTGGAATGTATTATACATATACATGTGTGTATATATATATGTACGTGTGCCTGCAGTCACTGCTTGCCTTTTCGACTTCTTGCCACATGTCGCGCTTGCTTTAAGGTGGCAAATGACTAACTAATGCAGMGCAAAGCAGTGTTTTGTTCTTGTTGTTTTTATTTTTACTCCATTTTTGGGTAATCGATATTGTAAAGGTTAAAAACTTGAAATTGGCTGCTGGCGTGTGGCGTGTGGCGTACGCGGCTGCCTTTGATCCTGCGCCCACCGTTTGCCGTTCGCCGTCCACCGCTTGACTGCCACATTTACCTTATTGGCATTTGTACATGCACACRACTCTATACGTAAATGTATTTATACATGTGTGTGCGTGTGCTTGTATTTTTGGTGATTATCCAACCCTCAGGATAGGTTATGAGACTTAAATTATTAATATCACTGCTCTGTTTACATAGTGCTAAATATTTAACCTCAATTTTTGTTTTTTTCTCTCTGTTTTTTAGTTATGGAATATGTTTTGTTGGCAGCGTATTTTACTTACATGTAGTTTTTTGTTTTCTATTTCAAAGTATACACAGCGATATGTGTGTGCTCGTTGTTGCGTTGTTTGCGTGCATGTGCATGTACATACATACGTTTAGGTGTATGTGTGTAATTTTCTTGTCGTACATATATACATACTCGTACACTTTTATCACTCACTTAAGGATGTGCTTTAGAATTTTCAAGGTAGACTCTTTCGCCTTTCGCCTTTATATGTTTTCAACTCTTCATTTTCCGTCCGTTTTACAATGCACACGCTGTGTTAAGATTTTGCAAAATTTAGCTTTTCACACTGTAATTTTTTTTTTTTTTTGATTGTTACCACAACGCACAGGATATTTTTTGCAGTAAATGCGCGCAACGCGTACTTAATGCTTGCCGATGTGGCGACTTTTCACGTAACTTTCTAACTGAATTTTCCTTCAGCTACAGAGACTTTAATTTGCCGTTTAATGCTCGGCTTGGCCGTTCGTTGATATTCGCTCGCTGCTTACATGTCAACTCTCGCCGCCGTTGTAGCTTTGGCACAGCTGTCATTCTATTTCTGCTGAGCGCAATTCTGCCGGCACCGCGCTCTGTGTATATACGCACAAACGTTTATGTATATCCTATCTAACGGTTATTGCTTGTTTGCTTGCTGCCTTTCAACGCTGCGCCACCCTGCCAACCCATTGTAGCGGCAAAAACAACAATTCAGCGATATCAGCTGCTGCAGCGCGCTTTTGGCTGGTTGTGTGCTGTGCGCTGTGTGTTGTCTGCGCTGATGTCCTTTTTCGTTTGTGTTTTCTTTTGTGAGAGACAGAGCGGCGTCGTCGCTGTTGTCTTCGAAGTCTCCCAGTCGCCACTGTTGTTTTCTGTTGCGAGTTGTTGATATTAATTTTTTTAGGCGTATTTTGGTCGAACAACACGAGGGTTTGACTATGAATAAAACTAACAAAAAAAATATATTTAAAAAATTATATTAATTTGTATTGATAATTTTTATCAATATTTTAATAAATAGAATTTGGTTTGTTTATTATTTTTAAATATATTTAGGTTTTAGTACACGTACAATATGGGTAACAGTTGGGTCCATAGAACCGAAAAAAACGGTTCCCACGACTTTCGGGTCTAAGTAACCGAAATGGAACTGGATTTTTAACCGGCTTTAAGGACTGTTCCCACGACAGTCGGGTCTATGAAAACCGGAACGAACCCGGATTTTTATCCGGCCAAGGACTATCAACTCGGCAGAATTCTGCCGTTGCAACGACAACTGTTCCGTTACAACAATAACAAAATTAATATTTAATTGAGCATTTTTATTGACAATAATGAGGACTTATTCCACTTCGTACATATTAATAGTAGAGTTTTCGGCGCAAATAGAAGGCCTTGGTGGTTAAAAACTCTTTCGTTCAGCTGTTATCGCATTGAGATTGTCTTATTGTTCGTTCCCACGACAGTCGCGTCTAAGTAAACGGAACGGACCAGGCTTTTTATCCACAAATTTCAACTCTCAACTCAGCACCATTTCTTGAAATTACTTCAGGAATGTTTTCTGCCGCTACAAGAACAACAATATTGTCTTTTTGTATTTTGTATAGCTTTATGGGTCTATTTCGATTACTTATCACAGTGGGAACACTTTCATTGAGGTCGAACAATATGCTCACGGTAGTCGGGTGTATATAACCACAGCATACTATATATATTTTTTTCCGGTCAAGACATCAATAACWGTCAATAATACTGCATTTCTCTAGGTGCTTATTACAGCTACTGCACACATATACCGAAGAACCAAATACTACATAATAACATGGTGTTGCATTTAATATATAATTAACCTGAAAGTATGTTATACTTTCGAAAGAAACTACCAAACCATTGCCGTTCATAAAAACGTCCCCATTTACCAATAAAAGACGTGGCAGCAAGTGATTTTATAAATTTAAGTTTAAATATATTTCCCAGTCACAAAAATACGCCGATATATAAATACATGTATTGATTTATATAATACATATTTTATTTAAAAATTTATAGCGCCAAATAATAAGTTACATATGTAATACACATCCGTTAAAAAAATTATAGCAATAAATAAATTATCATGGACAGTTCCTTCTGCGATACATATGTATGAATTTTTTGGAATGAATGCTTTTTCATAAAAAAAATGCTCAACTATTTTTTACAATTCACTGCAGCGTTGTTTAGTTCAACGATTAAAATGTTATATTGTGTAGCACTTAAGTATTTTATACAAATTTGTTTGAATGACGGCTTATTTCGTTTAACATTACTGAAAATTTGAGTACATATAATGTTACAATCTATTTTTACCCTAATACCATTTTCAATGCATCTGCGCTAGTGAATTTATAAAATTCTACTGCGGTCTAACTAATCTTCACAAAATTTTCTTGTTATCTTGCTTACTGCTGTCGTCATTAAAAGCTAGTTTTAAAGTTACAAGCTTTTATAGGTACATTTTTGCTATTGCAAACAAAACATTTAAAAACTTAAATTTTCTTCAAACAGTCAAAAATAGGTTTGCGCTTCAAAGGCCTCCTATTTATTGTATTACATTTCACAATAAATATATTTATGTGGAGCTAAACGTTTCATACACATTCGCACCAAATACTTTGCTCTTCTCATCAACCATATAAAATGTGATCAACGAGGTCGCTAAATTCTGTGGACGTGATTTTTCATCGAATCCTTGGGACGTTAAACCGCTTACAATCGGTATAAGTTTAGCTAACGCCATTTCTACGCTGTTTATGCCGAGTACACTATTCGCAGTTGCCACGTCGCCACCATCGCCTTTTTGTGTGGTTTTATTTTCTTCGCTTGCTGTAGCCTTTTGCGCTTGCGATAATGTCTCGCCAATACTTTCTGCAATGGCATCTACCGTCAAGGAAAAGCCTCGACAGATGCTGTTCGAGCAAACACTTGAAGCATCGTCGCTCTCTAACAAGTCTAAGGTTTCATTGTACATTTTTTGCAGTAGTGGTCCCACTGTATTATATTCTGGCATTTGTGGCGGCAATAAGTACGCCGCCATTTTTGCAATGGGATCGCCGACATCGCTATTGATGGCCATTTGTAGCGTCCAGAAGAGCTGTTCTATATCTGAAAGACTAAAACGCTTCGACAGCGGCAATGTCTTCATAACAACAAGAACTTTGGCACGTATTACACGTATTAGCTCACTTAAGCCACCATCATGTATGAAGTAACCAATGAGTGAGAGATACTGTTGTTTCAGTTCTTCTGCGATTTGTTTTCTTTCCAACGTGACGTCTTGGTATAAGTAACCGCCAAGCAAATTCATTTGTACACGCAAGGCAATGACTAACATCGATGAAGCATAAATGAATGTTGTCAGACGCGTGAACGCGACTATCTTCATTTCTTCCCACAATTCTAGTTTATTCGGTGGATTCTGACGAAGTTGATCCAGCAATGCGTTGGTATTGCATTCACGTATTATGGCTGCATATAATTCTGTGCCCATTCCAATTATTACCTTATTGCAGGTATGTTCTGTCGTTTCAAAATGTTGCATACGCTTTGTCTTTTCGAAAAATTCGCGAGCTTGTCGCGTTTGATATTCAATAAGTTTTCGCTGTGCATATTTGATAGCTACGTATGTGCCTCCAACTAACACGCCTGTTACTAAAAATTTTCGTCGGTGACGTGTGGCGAAATCACGTAGTCGGCTGAACATTTTTTGTTGTTGTTTAACGCTAAACGGTGTTCCGAAAATCCTTCAAGTATTCTCTTAAAATCCCTTTTGCTGCAATGGAAATTACTTATTTTATTAAATCAGAAATTTTAAATTAGAGTACAAAGTGCAATGGATATTACTATTTCCTTAGTAGTTTAAATATACTTATTAGTTATCCACCCATTTTGCACACACCAATCAATACAAATGATACTTACTTTGATTTTATTTAGTTAGTATAGTTTACGATTGTTTTGTTGCCTCCTTCTTTCACTGCCCACGCATTTATCGTCTCATTACTAGAATTATTTAATTATTCATATAGTTTATTGATTTACAGTGATTTATCAACTGCTTGAAGGAACGATATGTGAACATACATACCCGCAGCACTCTTCAACCACAGTCGCTTTATAAAAAAAATTTATTACTATTACTCAATGTGTATTATTTTAATAAATATTTTCTTTAAAATTAAATGAATTACCAAAGTACGAAGTCCGATTTTTATTTATTCAATAGACGGAAACCTGCACGGTGAAATAAAGAATCTGTATTACTGTCAAACAAATGGTCAGGTATAAAAAAAAATGATAACAAAAATCAAATGACATTTCTTCTGACATATCTGCCGAAATGCCAAAAGTCAGAGTTGTATCAAGAGCTTAACCTTTCGTGAACCGTTTAAAATAACTTTGGGGGTTTTTAATATCTTCTTGATACACAACGGTTAAGTGTTTTGACAATAACAAATGGAGGGTGGATAAGTAAATAAGTTTAATCATATCTAAAGTAGTAAATTAATATAAATTAAGTAAAGAAGGCAATTACGATTCAACAGCAGAGTTTGATAAAATTTTAAACAGAGCTGAAGATACAACTGAAGGCATCACACAATATGACTCAACCTCAAGTAAAGTCGGGAGTTGCTGCGGAGGAAGCTAACAAAAACTTAATTATAGTAACTGGATTTGGACCATTTGTTGGACATGAAGACGTGAATGCCAGTTGGGAAGCTGTACGTCTTTTACCAGATGAGCTTACTTGGCATGGTCACCATTATAAGCTAGAGAAACGGGAGGTACCTGTTGAGTATGATGCCGTGGACAAAGCTGTCGAAGAAATATGGTCACATAAGCCACAAGTAAGMAAAACTGCCGTGCTATTTCTTGCGAGTAACTTATTCTTTTTACTTTAAAAGCTTGTTATACATTGTGGCGTTCATGGTAGTGCAAGTTGCATTCATGTAGAGAAATTGGCTTATAATCATAAATTCACACGACCGGACTATGCGCGCCAGCGTTTACCAAAGTCTTCAGCATGTTTAGTGAATTGTAACACCAATGTGAATAATAATCATACCTTACATTGTGGGTTAGATGTGGAAAAAATTGTTGAAGTGGTTGCTGCATCATGTGAGTGTACGCCAACTGCTACTGACGATGCTCTACAAAGTAGCGTAAATGTAGAACCAGAAGCATTTACGGTACTTCAAAGTTCAGATGATGTCGGCAATTATTTGTGTGGATACATATATCTAAAATCTCTTGATAGAAATAGGAATCGCACTTTATTCATACATGTACCACCTATAAATTGTCCATTCACGTCAGAAGAGACTAAGGAGGTGGTGTTGCGAATAATTGAAGAATGTATTCGACAAGTTACGGAGAACGAAAAAGTAGATTGTTGAATTATATCCTTCTTATGCATTTGTGTCTTACGATTTTATCAAGATGAAATTGAAAATGTTTTTTTTTTTTTCATTATATAATTAACAAAGTATCAGAACTACCGAACTACTATATACATACGTTTTAACAACTTTATAACATATAAAATATAACGGTAAATAATAATATAGCAGTTGGTAATTTATTTTTCGTTGTGATCAGCCATTTATACATATATAGTATAAAGTAAACAGTCGTGTCTCTGTCGTTAGTTCTTTTATAAATTAGAAGTGATATAATGTTTTATGCATTTTCTTTAAATAAAGTGTAAACAAATAAATTAGTACATATGTATATTCATATGTTTTTCGGAAAAATTGGCACCATTTACATCCTCAACCTACACAAAATTTGGCAGCACTAAGCATTGTTTTGTTTTTTTTTCACATTTCTTAATATATTAATGTTAAGAAAACGTCAACGAGTTTAATGCTAATAAAATACTGTGAAATACTTAATTTTGCTTAAAACATGACACGACACGCTCGAAATTGCACAGCCGGTGCTGTATATACTTATAACGAAAAGCGCCGTGATGCAGCCGAATCAGGCTATGGCACCAAAGCACAACGTCTTGGAAAAGATTCGGTTAAGTCCTTCGATTGTTGTTCTCTAACTTTACAACCTTGTCGTAATCCAGTGATAACGAAAGAAGGATATCTTTTTGACAAGGAAGCCATTTTGCAGTACATAATTACAAAGAAAAATGAATACAGTCGTAAATTGAAGGAATTCGAACGTTTACGACGGCTTGAGGAGACGGAAAACGCGCAGGAGTTAAATCTAAAACAACAAAAATGCATTGAAAAGTTTGTAAACGCTGGTAAACCAGTCAATGAGAGTGCCAGTGATAAAAAATTGGCTGACGTAATTGCTATAACGCCAAGCACCTCTGCGGCTGCAGTAGCTGCGGCCGGTGGCTCCATCTCTAACATGACCAATGGCAATGAAAAGAAGTTACCTAGTTTCTGGGTGCCCTCCGAATGTCCAAATGCTGGTGCAGCAAAGGCAAAAAAACCTGATTCAACCATTTATTGTCCCGTCTCCGAGAAGCCTTTAAAAGTAAAAGATTTAATCAATGTAAAATTTACACTAATCAAAGATGGTGATAGTAGCCGTTCGCTAATAGCAAAAGAAGCGCGTTACATGTGCCCCGTAACACACGATGTACTCAGCAATGCTGTTCCCTGCGCTGTGTTGCGTCCAACGTGAGTTTAATTTGTGATATATGGAAAAACTTATCTGACAGACCTTTTTTTTTTGGCAGTGGGGATGTGGTTACTATGGAATGCGTGGAGAAGTTAATTAAGAAAGATATGATACATCCTTTGACGAATCAGAAACTATCCGAAAAAGATATTATACCCTTACAGAGAGTGCGTTTGCTAATAATTTCTCAATTAATCAGATTTTTCATGTATATGTTTTTATTTACTATTTATAGGGTGGCACCGGCTATGCTATGACCAATGATAATTTAAACGCCAAGGAAAAGCGACCAATGTTGCAAGTTTAGAGTGTTCCTCTTTAAGTTTAGCAATTAATTTATTTGTCGGTTTCGATTTAAGATTTTAAATATATTATGTTCAATAAAAAAATGACAGAATCAATAATAACTAATATTTTAAACAACAAATTTTTGAATTACTACTTTATATGTATAAACATAAATAACTTCAATTGTGAACCTTAACTAACAGAACATATTAAAAGTAAATATACGTGCATACATATGTACATTTTTAGGTACAGATAGAATGTCACTTGGTTATTTTTCTCTTATCTCTGTTTCTGGCCTTGACCCAAAATTATTCTGCACAATTGAAACATTTTATAGTTCATTGAATGTAATGGGAAACATATCGGTCAAATCAATTGCAAGATAACAGCATCCATCAATGACAGTTAAAGAGTCAACAAACGATATTGAAATTTTTTGCAGATGCTGATGCCAGTGGCGACCTTCTACTCATCAAATATAAACGCTTGGCAATGCTACAGAGGCATTAGAAAGTAATCAACTGCTAGTGCGAAGGAAAGTAATTTAATTTTTATTAAAACAAAATATATAGAAAAAATTAAAATGCGCACAATTTTTGTAAAAATCATATCACTTATGATTCTCATTATTAACACTCACGCAGAATCATTCAAGGAGTGCAATAATGCCGCTGAAGGCACTTTTGTAGCGGTTGAGCACAATTGCCTCGCATACATATACTGCCTAGACGAAGAGTCATTCACCGATACATGTCCAGTTGGCACTTATTTCGATGCAGAGCAACAACAATGTTTGCTAGACGAAGATGGCTCCAAGTGCACAGCTTTTATGGTGCAACCTACACAAGCAGTGGAGCAACAGCAGGTATCAACACAACAAGCGCTAACTGAGGCTACGGTCACTACAACGACTACTAGTGGCTCGCTGTCGACAAGTACTTTGTCACCACGCCCACATTGCAAACCAACTATAGATGAGTATTTTCCATATCAGCAGCGCTGTGAGTACTACTATCGCTGCACGMGCGGGTATTTGAGTATATTGCGCTGCAGTCTGGGCTACGGCTGGGACTTTTTGCAAGAGAAGTGCATGTCTCTGAAGGAGGCGCAGTGCTTTAAGGCTCTGCGGGCGCATGTTTCTAGTTTTTAAATATTTTTTTTTTATGTTTTAATTTAAAGTGTTTTGTTTTTGTGAATAAACGTTATGGCTTCTCATAAAAATGTGTATGCCTGTGTATTTTATTCGTTTTCRCTTAAAAGTATGCAAATATTATTAAATATTCTCTCTAGAATATTCATCATCCTCCAAACTCATTTCATAAGCACTTTTTGGGATGGATGGCTTTCACGAAGCCGATATTTCAGTTTCTGAAACCAAAAAAAACATACGAACATTTTGTTGGTTTCGGCTCGTTTTTACCCTCCGCTCCATTTATTGTTGACTTGTTTACATATCAAACTCATAAATCCCTGCCTGTGTTTCTTATATAGAGCCAGCTGCCCTGAAAACAACGCACGACTGTTAAATAACATCACATCACAGAGCGCGTGTGACGTTAACAGAGACCAGGCACGGTACCTGCGTTTCATATATAGAACCAGCTGACAGCCAGATGGCCTGAAGTCGCCGCACGACTGTTAAATCACATCGCATCGCGGCGCGAGTATCACCTTAACAGTGGCCAGGCACGGTGCCTGCGTTTCTTATATAGAGCCAGTTGG